GGGGTCAGAGGCAGGGCCAGGTGCCATCCCTGCTCTGGGACCCTCAGGGCAGACGCCTCACCTTGTCAGAGCCAAACTTGCGCAGGAAGCGGTAGGGCCACGAGTAGAGGGCGTGCTGGCCTGAGGGCTCGTGCAGCACCACGGTGTCCTGGCCCAGTGCCAGCAGGTAAGGCCCCTTCAGCTGGCAGCGGGCTGCCGCTTCTGTCTTTTGCACCACCACTGGGAACTCGGCCACTGCAGGAGATGACCATGAGGGGCCCCTCCCATCATCACTGAAGCAGATGCTATGCCCTCTAGTCCCCACCAATCCCAGCCTCGGGTGCTTCCAGGCAGAGGCCCTGGCCCGCCTTGTCAAACTCACCTTCCTGCCAAGAAGAGTAGATGGAGTTTTCTTCCATGGGGACAAGTCCCCTGGTGGGAGACTCTGTCTCCCCTGTTGCTGAGGAGCATTCTGTACCCTGAGGCGGGCCCAAGGCTAGAGATTAGATGGAGCTCCCCCTATCCCATGCCTTCCCCTTTGCCTCCCTGGGGTCAGAAACTCAGGACTCCATGACAAGCTACCATGTGTGTCCAACCTCTGAGCCTGTTCCCCAACCCAAGAGAGTTCTCTGTGCAGCTCCTGGACCAGAACCTGTGCCTGCTGGAGGCCGCTCACACCGGGCCCCTCTTCTGTAACAACTAGGCCAGTCCCCCCTTTGGATATGTTGGGCTTCAGGGTGTTACAGATTGCAAAGCTTATGCAGAGGAGAATGGTCCCATAGGGAGTGGGCTGAGTTCTGTGCCCCTGACATCATGGAGCACTAAAGGGGCAGGAAGCCCTGAGTAACTAGGTCCTGAGCTCTCTCACCCCCCTTCTCCATGAAAACACAGAGAGCCCCTCCTTCTTCCATCCTTTCCCTTCCTGAACCTCCCGACTCCCAGCACCTCAAGCTCCCAGGCCCAAGGTGCCATCAGCCTGCCTGCTCAGATCCAAGAGCTTTCTAATTTGTCCTCTTACATCTGCTTATTTCCTTTTGTTCTCTGGCTTGAGCTCTCTGTAAAACTAATCAGAATCAACAAAATTACAACTTGGCATCAAGGTCCAAGGCGGTTCTATATAGCTCCTGTCAAACTCCAACATCATCTCACTATGCTTACCTGGCCTCGTCCTCTACCACACTGGTCTCGCTGCCCCTCGAAGAGGGGCCACATGAGGATTTTTATGGGTCTTATGGACTCTTTTTCCTATTTGTGGGTGTTTGGCAGATGCTGCTGCAGAACAAGATATGTGGGATCATAGAGATGACCAAGTGAGGGATGAGGTGGGCCCTGCAAGCCCTTGTGTGCTCACCGGGAAGGCCAGTTGGCAGATGGGGCCCATCCAGGCCTGGCGGTGCTGGGCAGCCAGCAGGTGGCTCCGCTCAGTGGTGGTGAGGAGGAAGGCCCCAGTGTCTCGGGGGCAGCTCTCGCCATCAGCGGGCAGCACAGACACACAGTCCGCTAAACGGATGACCCGCCGTTCCCCGCGGCGTGCGGACCTGTCCCCTGAAGACCCCAGGCCACCATCTCGGACCTCCCAGCTCTCCAACCGGGCCACTCCTGATGGGCTTCCCGCATATAGCAATGCCCACACCTTCCGCCAGCACTTCTGTGGGAGAGGAGAGACCATCGAGTGGCAGATTGTCCCATGTTCAGCTCAGCACATGAGACTCAGCACATGAGACTCAGCACATGATCCTGGCCGCTCCGGCTGGCCTCCTCTGTCCCTCATGGTCCCAAAGAAGGAGGACACCACACCCCCAACTGGCTCAGAGAAGAGTCTGTGAACAAGTTTAGTCAGTCCTGGGTTAAATCCTTCATCCTATCCTGTGATTGCATCAAGAGAACACAAAGTTGTGAGTGGTGCCCGTGAAGGCCCAAGAGGCACAGAGCTGTCAGGTGGTATTGGTCTCCCTTCTATAGAAAAGGCCTCTTGGCCCAAGAGCCAATGGGAGGGCAGCCCCTGTCTCATGATGGCAAGGAAGGAAACATGCAAATAGCTTAGAGCAAAGGAAACAGGCTGTTTTTATCTGCCTGGGCAGCAGCTGCAGCTGCGCTGGGAGAGGTGAACTCCCAGCCCGCCCGCTTCCCTCTCGTGACCTGCTGGAAGCCCTCCCCTCTTCTTCAGGGTGGGGCCTGATGGACCCAGGTCTCTCATCTTGCCTGACCCTCTCCAGCCTCCCTGAGGGCGCTGATGCCACTGAGGTGCCTGGAAGGGCTGTCAGGCTAGACCTCTGCCAGGACCCTATTCCTGCTCTTGGTACACTCATCTGTGAACCAGTCTTTTCACAGGCCTGGCCTCAGCCCCTCAAGGCCTGGATGACTCTGCTTCACTCTCTAGTACCTGGATTTGGTCCTCCCACCCCAGATCCCCACTTTTCCCACGGCCGGCCGGGTGCAGTGTCCAAGGTGGGGGTAAGGGGCCACATTCTCCCCACATTTGGACAGCTGCCTGGCGGTCAAGGGGTGCCCACCTTGCCGAACTTGATGTGCTGCTGGTAGAGGATGCCATCCTTGACAGGGGTCTCCAGAGGCTCCATTGCTGCGGCCAGGCCAAAGGGCCGCCACTCCAAAGGCCCAAGGAGACTGATGACAGGCTGAGGGGAACTCTTCACACTTCCCCTTCTGGCCACTTCCCCTCCCTCCGTCCAGAGGCAGCTGCAGGGCTGGGGGGAGGGGAGCCCTGTCTTAAGAAGAACTGGGACAAGCACTAGGGGGTATCATGTATTTTTTGCCCTGGAGTCTATGCTGTGCCCTGGTACCCACACCTGCCAGGAAGGGGCCTCAGACTGCCCAAGGGGAACAGCCTCAACATGTCCCTGGGTCAGCTGGGAGAGCGTCAGACCGCAGGCTGGCTCCCCAGTCACGAGTTGCCCCACCTTCTCCCTTGCCTCTGTATCCCCAAGGCCTGGCATGCCCAGGCCAGGTCCCACCCCAGTCCTCCGGCTTTCCTGACCCCTGGGCCTGCTAGTGAGCTTCACCCGTCCTGCTCTACATTTCCTTCCCTTGGAATTATTTCTACAAGTCACTGTCCTCACTGCTTCTGCCCATTGCCAGCCTCCAGAGCAACCCTTTGGGTCCTGCCCCAGTCCTTTCTATCATGGGCAGCCATTTCTCTGCTGCTTAAACACAGCCTTCCCTGGTGTCTCACTGACCTCCTCAGCCTGTCCTGGGTTTGAGGTTCCACAGACCAACCCCTTCATTGTCTGTTTCCTTGTGGTCAGATTTCCAGACTGTCCTCATTGTCCCAGAATACAACAGCCTCTACAGGGTACACCGTAAGGCAGGCACCCAGTCCACAGAGGAGGCTGTGTCCAAGTGGCCCAGCCTGTGGGTCCCCTGGAGAGGTGACATGTTCCTTTAGAGCAGTGCTTCCTGCAGAAGGCTGGTACTCTGGTTGTGTGTGTGGCTCTGCAGACCTGCCAGTGACCAGTGCCATGTTGGGAAGAGTAGGCTGAGGAACAGTCTGGGGCCACAGGTGGCACAGGCAGCTGCTTCAGGATACAGGGACAGGTCAGGGATACTTTCTCACGCCTCCTGGGTACCAGCTTTGTGCCTGTAGCAGGAGCCTATGCAGCTCTGAGCCTGGGCAGCCTGTGCCTTCTCACCATCACAATGGTGAGGAAAGAGGCTCAGAAAGATTAAGTAACCTGTCCGAGGCCATACACACAGTGGTAGACATATCTTGAGCAACTGCTGTCCCAGTGGGATCTTCTACATAGGCGCCTGGCCTAGTGGACCTGCCCAGGAAGTGGATGCCACGAGGCCCATTGCTCCATGGCCCTCTGTCCAGATGTTGAAATCTTCCATCATTTGTGGTGGTCTTGTGATGACCACCCAACTTATGAATTCTCTCACACCCGAGCTCCCCAACACTTGGGCAGTAGAAACCCAGCACAGACAAGCTGGGCAGAGTGGGGCTTGTGGTCATTAATTGAGCCAGGCAATGTAGGCGTTGGTGAGGTGTGTGGTGACTCGGAGTGCCTTCCGTTTTTCCTTAGTGAAGGCAATGGAGGGCCCTCCCCGGAGCCTGTTGTAGGTGGGCAGTAGGACCGGGCCAGGAAGTGACCTCCTAGTGGGCCCAAGAGACTTCATCTAACAGACAGGAAGAGGGAGGCTGGGGCGGGCCTTGAGCTTATGACTGCACCACGGCCACCAGGGAACCAACCGCCTCCCTGCAGCCCGCCAGTGTGGCTCCTGCTCTGAGGTATAAGCTCAAACTCAGGCAGTTCAGAAAGATACCTTGCAGCGTGCCTAGATGACATATATCCAGATTCTGATGAGCTAGTGCTGACAGGGGAGAGGGAGACGCTGAGGCCTTGCCTCCGAAAGCCCCGAGATTGGAGTGGAAGCCCTGTCCGCAATCATGGTCAGAGGAGAAAAACCAGAGGCTGAGTGGAGGCCAGAGAGGCTGTGCTTTAATGGTAGCTGGGGAGGAGGACAAAAATAGTGATTCTGAGGGCACAGGGAGCAGCAGTCAGGCCCCGCCTGGCCTCGCCCAGGCCAGCTGGGCCAAAGATGCTGGCGTCTAGTCCACAAGTGTGTGGTGGGGTGGGTGGGAGTGGCTGGAGCCTCTGGGTGAGGCCTCTTGGAGAGAAGGAAGTCAGACAGACAACTCAAAAATCCATGGAGCTGTGGGCCAGGTAGTCCTTGCGGCCGATGTTGCTGACCTGCTTGGTCTGCATTGCCTCGAGCTTGGGGCAGTCGGTAATCCGGTGGCCCAGACCCCCACAGAAGGCACAGCCCCGCTCTCCTAGGGATTTGAGGGAATGGGGTCAGTGTGATCTTGGGCAAGCTCCAGGGCCCAGAGCTGGGGCTTCCACGGGAGACATTCAGGGCCTGACATGGCCCTGTTTCCTCTGTGCACCTGTCATGCACCAGCCCCTGCCCTGTGCTGGGGCCCCACCCGTTACCTCCAATGTCCAGCATGGACTCATCCCCGCAGTGCAACACTTGCAGCACGGGTGGCACCTTCTGCTTGGCCTCCAGCAGCAGGGCTTTGAGGTCCATCAACACAGACTCATCTGTGGGGCAGGCAGAAGGGATGTCAGCAGGCCCAGCCTGGGGTCCCACAGCCAGAACATCAGGGAGCACAAGCTGAAACCCTGATGACACTCACCGCAGGCCTTGTTGATGAAGGTTGTGGCAATGCCGGTGTTTCCTGAGCGCCCAGTGCGGCCAATACGATGTACTGTGGAGAGGAGCAGAGCTTAGGCCCCTGCCCAAGGGTAGGGGTCTGGCCCTCCCTTTGATTCCCTGTACTTCGGTTTCCTTAAACTCCTCACCATAATTCTCAATCTCCTCAGGCATGTCATAATTAATCACGTGCTGGATGGCAGGGAAGTCAAGGCCCTTGGAGGCAACGTCTGTGGCTACAAGGACATCTTTCTTGCCCTCTCGGAATGCCTCGATGGCCTTGGTCCGTTCCTCCTGATCTGGAGAAGGGGGTGGGTAAGGTAGGACCTGTCAGAGCTACAGGAGGAATCTGGGGAGAAGCAGTGGGCCAGTTGGGAAGGGGAAGGAGTAAAGGTGGGGCAGGGGTTCGCTGGGGCAGCAGACCCTATGCCACTGCAAGCACCACCCTGACCTTTGCCCCCATGGATGGCCACAGCTTCAACCCCCTTGAGCAGCAGGTACTCATGGATGGCGTCCACATCTGCTTTCTTCTCTGCAAAGATGAGCACCTGTTCAGGAAGGTAACTCCAGTCACATGGTTACTCCACCAGGAAGCACCCCAGTTTCCCCCAATAGCTGTCCCCCCTCCTTCCGCCAGGTGGCTGCACACTGCACTCACAGGTGGAGGTGTCTTCTGCAGGCACTCAAGCAGGTACACCATCTTGGCCTCTTCTTTCACATACTCCACCTCCTGCCATCAAAGGGGTCAGGTCAGGTGACCCTGAAGTTAGGCTCACCAGCCACAGTCCTGCCACTGAGGCCAGGCCCCCTAGATGAGTTGGGGGGTTACTAGAAGTATCTTGCCACCAAAAGTTGGAAGTTCTAGTCATGTTCTCTAAGAGGTCAGAGGCTTTGAATGACATCCCTAGTGTCTCCAAGGTAGACGACCCTACTCCAGTCATTTTAAGACAACTCAGGTCCTCCTGACCATTAGGAGTACCTGCCCACCTGAATGACATCCAGGCTGGCAGCCCCAGCACGGCCCACGTTGATTGTGACAGGCTTCACCAGGGCACTTTTGGCAAAGTTCTGAATCTTCTTGGGCATGGTGGCACTGAAGAGAAGAGTCTGCCGCTGGCCCTGAAGGAGGACACAGACTGGCACCTCAGGGACAAGGGATGAGGAGTCTGGGACCAAAGGTAGACAGGGGCTGGGGGCTGGGGGCTGAGCAGATGGGATATAGCCCCCTGATAAGAAGGGGCAGTTGAGAGGAACAGTGTGTGGTGATGTATGGCATGGATGGGGATGCAAGATGCAGGAAGACAGAGTCAGGCAGCAGTGGGCACCTTGAAGTATGAGAAGATGGTGCGGATGTCACCTTCAAAGCCCATGTCAATCATGCGGTCAGCCTCGTCCAGGGCCAGGTAGCGACAGATATCTAAGCTGACCATCTTCTTCTGGAGCAGATCCATGAGGCGCCCAGGGGTGGCCACCATCATATGCACTCCGCTGGGAAGCAGGGAGGCACGCTGAGGCGGCAGGGCCCTGTCCACCCCACCTAAAGCCTGGTCTCTGCCCATCTCCCAGTGTCACCTCCCCTGTCCTTTGCCTTCACTCCCACTACCCTACTCTTTGTGTGGCACAAAGCTCTCCCACAGAGGAGACTATCTCCCCACCACCATTTCTCTGGACTCTCTTCCTGTCCCCCTTGAATCTCTAAGCCTCAGTGGACTCCCTTTTACATTAGATAATTCATCTGTCTTATGCGGGTATCTTCCCTGAGACAGAGAGTGCCCTGGAACAGGAACAGGGGCTGACTTGCCCCCGATCCCAGCTGCAGATACTGGAATTGCATGAGTGTGGCTGGGATCGAGCCCTATTCCAGGGCCTTAGCCCCCTCATTCTCATTACCACCACATGACATTTCTGGGCATATCAGGTCCCTTGTCTCTGTAGCTAAGGTATCTTTTTGGAATATTCCTTTTCAGATTTCAAGTGTCCCCTTCCCTGCAGTCTTTTCTGACTACCCTACCTCTTAGGTTCCCCTTGTCCCACGGTGGCTGGGCTGCTCAATCTGCTGAGCATCTGTGCACTTTGCCACATCGTTCTATCCTCCTCTAACCCCTGGGTTGTGGTTCATTTGTCCATCATCACGGCCTGGGAGCGCCCGGGGGCAGCCTGGGCCAGCACTTACTGTCGGATGGTCTCCATTTGCTCTTTGACAGACATGCCCCCGATGCAGAGGGCGCAGCGCAGCAGGGGCGAGCTGTCCTCTTGCAGCAGGCGGCAGTAGTACTCCAGGATGCCGTGTGTCTGTCTGGCCAGCTCCCGCTGCAGTCACAGGGGTAGAGGCTGGCACCAGAAGGCAGCCCCAGGCCCGGCCCTGCCCGCCTGGCCAGTCTATCTTACCGAAGGGCAGATGATGAGTCCATAGGGTCCCTCACGCTTAGAGAAAGGTAATCTCTTTTCTTGTTCCAAGCAGAACATGATTACAGGCAGCGTGAATACCAGTGTCTTGCCTGAACCAGTGAAGGCAATCC